TTGCATTTTGTTTTTATTTCTCTCAATCTATTTTAATCCAGTACAATTGCTTCTCCTTTCATAGTGTCTTTGACTTGTAAGCCCTAAGAAGGAAGATACCTACTAAGAAGGGCTCTTGGTGGCTAACTAGGCTCAAAATTTTAAAAAACAAAAACAAAAAACAAACAAACAAACAAAAAATAGAGCCTAGCAGCCATTTCTACACAGGGGCCTCTCATGCAAACCACACTTCAAGGAGAAACCTGCACTGAGCTGCCTGCCTGCACTGTGTTTCTGCCATCTGAGCCACCCCTTATAAGAAAACTAGAGGCCCAGTGCACAAAATTCATTCACGGATGTGTGTGTGTGTGTGTGTGTGTGTGTGTCCTTCAGACCAGCCTGCACTCTCTCCAATCTGGGACCCCTCGAGGTATGTCCGACTGCCCTCTCACAATCCAGGACTGCTGGCTCCCAACCGCTTGCCTGCCTGCCTGCCTGATCACCCCTAACCACTCCCCTGCCAGCCTGATCGACGCCTAACTGCTCCCCTGCTGGCCTGGTCACCCCTAACTGTCCTCCCCTGCAGGCCTGGTCACCCCCAACTGCCCTCTCCTGCAGGCCTGGTCACCCCCAACTGCCCTCTCCTGCAGGCCTGGTCACCCCCAACTGCCCTCTCCTGCAGGCCTGGTCACCCCCAACTGCCCTCTCCTGCAGGCCTGGTCACCCCCAACTGCCCTCTCCTGCAGGCCTGGTCACCCCCAACTGCCCTCTCCTGCAGGCCTGGTCACCCCCAACTGCCCTCTCCTGCAGGCCTGGTCACCCCCAACTGCCCTCTCCTGCAGGCCTGGTCACCCCCAACTGCCCTCTCCTGCAGGCCTGGTCACCCCCAACTGCCCTCTCCTGCAGGCCTGGTCACCCCCAACTGCCCTCTCCTGCAGGCCTGGTCACCCCCAACTGCCCTCTCCTGCAGGCCTGGTCACCCCCAACTGCCCTCTCCTGCAGGCCTGGTCACCCCCAACTGCCCTCTCCTGCAGGCCTGGTCACCCCCAACTGCCCTCTCCTGCAGGCCTGGTCACCCCCAACTGCCCTCTCCTGCAGCAGGCCTGGTCCCCAACTGTCCTCCCTGCAGGCCTGGTCTCTTCTGACTGCCCTCCCCTGCTGGCCATCTTGTGGTGGCCATCTTGTGTCCACATGGGGGTGGCCATCTTGTGTGTTGGAGTGATAGTCAATTTGCATATTACCTCTTTATTATATAGGATTCCTGGAACCTTATTTTAATCAATAGGACTGAGGCTTTCCCCATTCAATTGGAGCTACACAGCTATATCCCCATCAACTTATTTACCAACTAATCAGAGTGGCTCAAGTCTGACCAATCAGGACAGTGCCCTTTGGTCTAATCAAACTGAGAATTTGGAGTTCTCATTTGCATGAGGATGGACCAATCATGAACCAGATGTGGGGACTTCTATCTATATAAGATAGCTCCCCTCTGGCTTTGGGTGTGCACTTTTCCTTTCCATTGAAGACTGAGGATTGTGCTTTCCTGGCTGAGCTGAAACACTAAAGATGTCTTGCTAGAGCAGAGTGGAGCAGACCAACATAGGCCAGAGAGCAGAGCAGAGCTGCCTGGGCTTCTCACAGCCATGCTGTCTCACAGTCAAGCTATATCACAATTGAGCTGTTTTGTACTAAATAAAGTTTCCTCCTTCACTGCATCCCAAATTGGGGATTCCTGTTAGTGTTGAACTGGCACCAACAACCATCCATTGACAGACTCTTGAAAAGATAGATCAGTTCTCAATGTATAATATTTCATATTGTGAATTTGTCCAATTATTTCCCTGTTATGTTATTTAACTTGTTTCTTTATCTGTATATTTTCTGTAAACTGAAAGTTAGATCTTAAAGATTTGCTTAGATCCTGCTGAAAACTTCTTGGCAAGAACACATGGCTCTAAATAATGGAGGCTGTCATTGGGAGTCTCTTTCCAGGGTGGAAGACAGGCAGAAAGGAGGCAGAAAGTGGGTTGGGAGCAGCCTGGGCCTTTCCTAGGCAGGTGACTATAACAAATCTCAGAATATGTGCCATCGCAGAATGATTTTTCTTCACCAACTGGGGCTTAAGAGGTGGGCTTAGGCTTAGTATTCTGGTTTAAGAGCCCCAATGCAGGAAGCAGTTGTCCCGAAAACCTTGAGCTGCAGTTCCAGGTTGCTCATAGCTTGGTGACAGTTCTGACTCCTTTTCCTAGATCTGAGTGGCAGTGGTGCAGTATGATCTAAGGAAAAGGGCAGACTTTGGAGACAGACTGAACTGTGCAATTTGTCAGCTTTTGGTCTTGGGCAATTCACTTGAACTCTTTGAGCCTTGGTTCCTCTATCTGTGAAGTGGGCACTGTAATTATACTACTTACCAGAGTAGTTTTAGGGATTAAAACTACTAATGGGCCAGAGGCACCAGGAACATGGGTGGGTATTCAGTAGGTGGAAACTAATGTTAATGAGTAAAGCTTTGGGCACAATAATGGGCCAGTGGCCAGTACTTGGGGCTGCCCCCTTTATACCCCAACAATAAGGTAACTGGATACTATTCCCCCAGGTGTTGGGGTGGGGTGAGCTTGAAGCAGCTGTAGACCTTCTTACATAAGGGACTATTAATTCTCTAATTAAAGCAAACCAGTGGGTGGAGGCTGGCAGCAAACAAAGCCATTTCTTTTTCTTTTTTTAAAAATATATTTTATTGATTTTTTACAGAGAGGAAGGGAGAGGGACCGAGAGTTAGAAACATCGATGAGAGAGAAACATCGATCAGCTGCCTCCTGCACATCCCTCACCGGGGATGTGCCCACAACCAAGGTACATGCCCTTGACCGGAATCGAACCCGGGACCCTTCAGTCCGCAGGCCAACTCTCTATCCACTGAGCCACACCAGTTAGGGCACAAAGCCATTTCATAGGTCTTCAGAGTTGGCCACCATTATTTGGTTATACAGAGTGACCTTCTTTGCTTGCTTGTTAATTTAATCCAGGATTGCTGGTGGAAGTGCATCTGCTGTGGCAAGGTTTGTGACTTTGTCATATGTTTCCTTGGTTAACCTCATTGTTTTTGTAATACAGTTCTTAGGGCATATAATTTACAATAAACTCTAGAGGTAAGATGAGGAAGAGCTCACCTCTTGAGATTTAAAAACAAACATCAATATTTAATGGTTGAATGTAGCTTTATACATGACAAACCCACCTCAACTATGGTTAATGAATTGAACAAATGGTGGAAACCAGGGAAGTATCCTAATGTTGGCAACAGGATTCATGATTAGACTGTTATACTCTTGTCAGGTTGTTTTTGGTTTAAAATAACAGAATGTGTAACTAAAAGTGGTCTAAACAATAGGGTACATCTCATCTCATATAACAAAGTAGCATTTCTTGAGAAACTCAGATTGAGGCTCCTTTTTCTTAGGAATTTAAGGAGGTTTGATTACGTTAACCGATGGTTATTGGCATTAATTCAACACCAACAGAAATTCCTAATTTGGGGTGCGGCAAAGAAGGAAACTTAATTCTGTGCAAACAGCTCAATTTGATACAGCACAGCTGTGTAACAGCTCAGCAGTGTTACAGCTCAGTTATGAAGTAGCACAGCTATGGACCTGCATGATTGTGAGGCAGCCCAAAGGCCAGGCCCCTGTCCTGCTAGACAGCTCTGCTCTGCTCCGGTCCACTCCACCCTGCCCTGTGCCAGTCTTCACTATTTCAGCCAGCCAGGGAAACAGTCTCTAGTCTTCCATGGAAAGGGAAAGTGCACACTCCAAGGCAAAGTGTGTTATCTGGCTGTCTGCGAGTGTGGTGTGACAGCTGAACCTTTGAAAGGGCAATTTGCCACCTCCCTCATTACTCGCCAAGTTAACCTAATTTAGCAGGGGACAATAGCACTATGTTTGGGCTTAACCAACACCAAGAAAGTTTCTGCTGTTTACCTTAAGCCCTTGAGACGTAGTGGCCACTTGGAGATCTGAAAAGACAAGTCTAGGACCCTCCCCACCTTCTGAAATGCTTCCCCTCTCCCCCTCTACTAACTCCATCTGGCATCCTAGTCATTTAAATGAAGGTGGTAAACAGGCTAGGGCACATGATGGTTCTCAACTGTGAACATGCATCAGAATTACTTGGGGGATTGTAAAAGCACAGATACCTGGGCACCTCCCTCAGAGTTTTTAGTTAGTAGATCTGGGAAGAGTCTGAGATTTTGCATTTTTAACTAGTTTAAAGCTGATGCGGATGATTCTGGTCCAGGGCCCATACTTTGAGAACCCCTGGGCAAAATAATAGACTGTGATATCTCTTTGAGTGTGTGTAACTAAGTATTTGATTTTTTCCATTCTTTCATGAACACTCCCTTGAGAATGGATCAGGGTCATGGATAGGAATCGACACAATAGAAACAACAGTGGGTGTTAGAAGATGTAGATCAAGCATGTCAAACTCAAAGGCTAACACAGGCCAAATAAACAAGGTTTAAGTTTATGTGGGCCGCAAAAAAAACAAAAGCTTCAATTTTCATAGAAACGTAGGTTTATTTCAATACAGACATGCTGAATACAAAGGGCTGAAATAAATGAGTAATCATTAACATAAAATAGAACATTTTAATAAAAATTATTTTTTCTTGAACATTAACTTACCAGACACTGAATAACTGCACAAATTAATAAGTGTAACGCAAATAAACCTATTTTTTTTTGTTCTCTGAAGGCGAAATATTTCCTGTTGTGCACATCAAACAAGTCAGTCCAAGACTAATGGCGTGGCAATTGACTGCTAAAATATTCGCTGCTAGTATTAGTGGAGAGAAATGGTGCGCCTGCGCGTAAGGTGTGTAAGGGAAATGAATGCAACACGTTTATAGTAATCAGTCATTAGTGAACATTATAGTTCGTTATTAATAATTATGTATAACAGAATATTGTAAAAATTAAGTTACGAAATTTTTATTAAAACATTTCTTACATACTGTTATATTGGCTGGGCTGCAAAAATATTCGTTGTGGGCCACATGCAGCCCTCAGGCTGCGAGTTTGACATACTTGATGTAGATGATACTGAGCCTGATTTTTTGCAGGCCTCTTGACTCAAGGTCTAAATTTCATTCAAGGAACAAAAAATACAAGTAAGCAAGAGATTTTCTGAGCACCAAATAAAAAAAAGTAATTTTAAAAATATTGAATAGTTTTCCATTGCTAATGTAACAAATTACCACAAACATAGCAACCTAAAAGCACATATTTATTTTCTCACAATTTCTGTAGGTTAGAAGACCCAGTGGGCTCAGCTGAGTCCTCTGCTTCACATCTCTCAAGGCCAAAATCAAGGTGCCTGCCTGGAGGCTCTGGAGAATAGTCTGCTTCTAAACTCATGTTGTGGCCATCCCTGTTTCCTTGCTTGCTGTCGTGTAGGATAATCTGTGGTCTGAGGAGGTGCCTTTTTTCTTCCCAGGCTTTCCATGTGGTCCCTCCAGCAATAGCAACCTGAGTCCATCTAACACTTCCAATGTCTGCCTTCTGTTGAATCTCTCTGACTCCAGCCAGAGAAAGTGCCTGCTGGTCAGGGCCCATGTGATCAGATTGGGCCTACCCAGGGTAACTTCATTTTATTTTGTTTATTTTTATTTTTTCAGGGTAATCTCTTTTTAAAAAATCCTCACCCAAGGATATTTTTCCATTAATTTTTTAGAGAGTGGAAAGAAGGGAGAGAGGCAGAGAGACAAACATTGCTGTGAGATACATTAATTGGTTGTCTCCCACATGGGCCCTGGGGCTGGGGATCGAGCCTGCACTCGAAGTACTTGCCCTTGACCAGAATCAAACCTGTGATCCTTCAGTCCGTGGCCAACGATGACGCTCTATCCACTGAGCAAAACCAGCCAGGGCTCTCCTCATTTTTTTTTTCTCTCTCCTCATTTTTAAAGTCTGTGACTTTAATGATATCTACAGATTTCCCTTTGTTATATAGTACAGCATAGTTGCATGGTCCAAGGATTAGGTTGTGGACATCTTTAGGGAGCCTTCTGCTTACCATGAATAAATAATATGGTTGGGAAAAAAATCAGAGTAACATAAAAATACTTACTGAAAAAAGTCTTACTTCCTATTCTTTCCACCTGATCCCTCACCTATCCTTACCAGCTAACCACTATTTTTAGTTTCTTGTGTATTCTTCCAGAGTTAGTTTTTGTAAACATAGTATGAATATGAACATTATTCTTTTCCCTACTGTCCCAATTAATTAATTAATTATCTGTCTAGACTTAGTGGGACAAACGCAGATGACCAGGAGTCAGCATAATGGCTATCCCCTGGTACTTCAATGTCTAGACAGCTGAGCTGACAGGAACACATGAACACACAAGACAGAATTAGTATGCAATTACACAGGGTTTATTTACCTATTCCTAGTGGGTCCTAGGCTCCAGCAAAGGCTACCCGGTGATGCACACTGAAAGACGGACAACGAAGACGGAGACAGACAGGTGGCCACAGTTGGTTCAGGCTCACGCAGCAGAGCAATCAGGGGCTTGTCTCACGGAGTGACGTGGAGTCCTCCTCTCAGGCAGGAGACAATGACTGGAGAAAAATCTTGTGCTTATATAGCCGGTAGTATACAACTTGTGTCTTATCAGTGTGGGCCAGACGGTGTGCCTTTGCTAGGAGCAGGGTGTTTACGCTGTAAGGGCTTAGGGCCGTGGTTGGCAAACTGCGGCTCGCGAGCCACATGCGGCTCTTTGGCCCCTTGAGTGTGGCTCTTCCTAAGCCTTAGGAGTACCCTAATTAAGTTAATAACAATGTACCTACCTATATAGTTTCAGTTTTAAAAATTTGGCTCTCAAAAGAAATTTCAATCGTTGTACTGTTGATATTTGGCTCTGTTGACTAATGAGTTTGCCAACCACTGGCTTAGGGGATTCACATCAAGATAGTGGGGCGTTCACCACATTTTGGAAGTTACAGAGTATTGGGGTCTTTACACAGCAAACATTTCACACATTAATTATTTCCACACATTAGAGGGGTTTCCTTATGACCATAACATCATTATAACACCTACTTACATTGAAGGTAGCATACTGTGTACTTCTGCGTCTTGCTTTTTTTCTTTTTAAAATTAAATGTCACTTGGAGATGCTTTTTTTACAGTGCATAGAGAAAGTTCTTCATCTATTTCTATAAAGCATAGCACTCCATAAATGGGTACTATAATTTACTTACCCTGTCTCCTGTTGATGGACTGCTAATCTGTTTCTAATATTCTGCCACATAATCAATAGCTGTCAGTGACTAACTTCACACAAACATTATTTCTTCCATGTGACCACTGATTGTTTTTAAATTTTGTTTGTTTTGCTTTTAGTTCTAACATCTCCAAGGCTAGTGACAAGTTGGCTAGGTGACATGACACCATCTTGCCTTGGTGGCCCAGAAAATGGAGACTTTAGCTTGACTTTGTGAATCTGAATCATTGCCATACCTGACTAGTCTCAATTCCTCCAAAAGCATCCTCAGCTTTTCTGTAGGACCTCTGACCATCCCATATGTACTTCCATTGTTCCACCATACTATACACCTCCTGGAAGCACCATTAGCCTCAAGTTGATGTAAGTGGTACCCCCCTGAAGGTTGCCAAAGGAGGAACACAGGAGACCAGAATGGTGAGGGATTACGAATTTATTCGATCATCCACATACCAGGTGGCTAAACTTGGATGGCTCCAGCAAACAGTGATGGGAGTCAGCAGCTTTTAAAGGACTTTTGGCAGGCTTTTTTTCTGGGTGGAGACTTCTTTATGCATACCCAGAGGGGAGATAATGGAATGTGGTCACCACAAGTGAAATGTGGTCTTAGCAAAGGGAATATCTATAGTGAAATAACCTGAAAAGCCAGTATCAGGAGGGGTATCAACTCAATTGCTCAATCAAACCTAACACCCCCTGAGGTTATGCCACCAGAAGTATAAGCTGCCACCCTGTCCCCAAGCCACTCTGTTCCACCCTGTTACTCTGATAAGAAAGAAATTCCATTTCAGGTCCTCCATTATTATTCCCTTTGACCTTCTGGTTTGTTCATACTCTTACCTAAAAGGATCACTTCCTTTTGTTATCAGAGAAATCTGTGGATGTCTGGCTAGTGGGAGTGGGATATCCCATTCCCCACTGGGTGATCATAGTTGGGTCCTTAAGATATCTTGCAAAAAAGAATTTTCTGAGACTTGTACAGGAGGATGACTGATTTTGGGTTTCCAGAATCCCATTTCTGCCTGACTGGTGTGGCTCAGTGGTTGAGCATCTACCTATGAACCAGGAGGTCATGGTTTGATTCCTGGTCTGGGCACTGAAAGATCAGACAGAGGCCGAAAACCAGGACTACAGGCTTTATTAGAGGAGAAGGACCTGCCGGGCTGTCTCGCAAGGGGAGAACGACAGCATGTGCAGAGGTGGGCACGCCTTTTGAGGGGAGGAATGGGAAGGAATGGGGGCTTAGTGTACTCTGCACACGCTGATTGGTGGCTTAATGTATGGTCCATATAGGAACAAGGGCTTAGGGCAGTGGTCGGCAAACTGCGGCCCGCGAGCCACATTCGGCTCTTTGGCCCCTTGAGTGTGGCTCTTCCACAAAATACCACATGCGGGCGTGCACATACAGTGTGATTGAAACTTCGTGGCCCATGCGCAGAAGTCGTTTTTCGGCCTGGGCGAGTCTATTTAGAAGAAGTGGGGGGTGTCGGTCAGTTGGGCGACGGGAGATGCGGCGCAGGTGGGCCGCGGGATACGCAGCACGGGGGAGGTACATTGTTTTGAGGTATGTTCGCTGAGGTCGACCCCTTCCAACTCTCCCATCCACACTCGTCTTTCTGAAACAAGTATACAAGACGAGTGTCAATCTCAGCGAACGTACCTCAATCAGATTGAGGATGTTTTTAGCAAAGGCCAGTTTAGGAGTACCCTAATTAAGTTAATAACAATGTACCTACCTATATAGCTTAAGTTTAAAAAATTTGGCTCTCAAAAGAAATTTCAATCATTGTACTGTTGATATTTGGCTCTGTTGACTAATGAGTTTGCCGACCACTGGCTTAGGGTATTTGGCAGGTGTGGATTGGTGGTCCAATGTATAGTCCATATAAGGCACATGGTTAGTCGCTCAGGTATTTCTGGGCTGCAGGTTATGTCATACTCAGCCCACCAGTTGGGGGAAGGGAGGATCTATCAGGCACATGCCCAGGTTGCGGGCTCGATCCCCAGTACAGGGCGTGCAGAAGGTAGCCAATGGATGATTCTCTCTCATCATTGATGTTTCTCTCTCTCTCTCTGAAATCAATAAAAATTTATTAAAAACAAACAAACAAAAATCCCATTTCACTTAATCAAGTCCTGGAAGAAGTGCAGCTAGAAGCAAAGCCAATGTCCAGAGTTTCTGTTCCATGTTGGAGCTGGGTCCAGTTCAGCATTAGGCTAGTTATACTCCATTAATCCACTGTGTGGGGTCCACATGATTGTGGGCCATGTGGGCCAAGATAGTGGCACCCCCTGTGTTATAGTTATGATTGTATTAGTATGTAGTGACCCCCATATTTCAATATTTAGTTGTAACCCAGTGTGAGACCCACAAAACCCGAATGTACTTTTCCAAATGAGTGAACGCCCAGAACTTGTACCCTAGACCCATACTGCACCAGTATAGCACACCACAGCTGGCAGCCACTGATAAGGACCATTGTGTTTACTCGACCACATAAAAAACCCAGACTTTTGACACTCAGTGTCTCCTGCCCCGAGAGAGGACTCCACATCACTCTGTAAGACGACCCCGAGATGCTCCGCCGAGACTGAGACCGAGTCACGGCTGCTCCCATTTTGGTCTTCGTCCTTGTCGGTGTGCATCGCCGGGTGGCTACGCTGGTGCTAGGATCCACTAGGAAGTGGTAATAAACCCCTGTGTGATGGCATACTAACTTCTGTCTCTGTGTGTTGATGTTTATGACTTGGCTCGGTTGCCTTAGGCCTTAAAGATCTGAGGGGGATGTTGTTATCCTGACCCTCGGACACCTGTGCTTGTCCCGACCAGGTTAAGGCAGAATAAGTAATTAATAGAATTTGGGGTCAACTGGGACACCCTGCAACAAGAGTTCAAGAGTCCTGTGTGAACCACGAGTGCAAGAGAGTAAATTCTTTTCTTTAGGAACTTAAGTTTCTCAAATCTTCCTGTGTTTGCAGGTGTGACTGACAGACAAATACCTTCCCTATGTTACCCAGACTTTATTGGGCATGTGTTTAAGGCAGCTTCTTGGCAAAGCTGCACAAATAACATGTCTATAATATTTGGCTCCTTTCTAGTTTTTTAACAGCTAAGTTCATTACAGTGGTATCATTTTCCCTTTGGAGATCTTTGACTTCCTGGCCAGTCCCCTCTTTCTTTCATACTTTTTCTGTGTGTTTTTTTTTCCACTTGTCTGGAGAAGATTCATAAGCTGATTGTTCTTCCCCAACAATAATAAACTCAGTTTACTGCAGGGATCAGGCGCTCAAGGCACACACCATAAGCCTCTTGTCTTAAGCCAATTTCCTGTGCACCTCCACACCCCCATCTCTGTGAGCAGATGGCTCATCTCTGCCTCTTCCTATTTGGTTCTGTAGAGGCCTCAACTTTCAGCTTCATTTTGAGACAGAAATGACTGAAGTCTCTTGAAGAGCTCCTCAGGTGGCCTGCTCAGCTCATTTCTTCAGATTCTTTCTGGTGACTTATAAGTGATACCGAATTTTTGGACTGGAACCCGAATTCTTTGTCCACCAGAATCGAAGAATGAGTCCACAGACAGAAAGTGGTATAGCAAAGATGGAGATTTATTGAAAAACAAGTACAGACTCTCACGTAGGGAGGGGGAAGAGTCCCACTGTGTTCCTTTCCCTATGGCTTATAAAGACTGCAGATCCTGGTGCCTGATATCCCCTCTGATTGGTCAATATTCCCCTTTGACATGTGAGGTTCTCCCTCCTCCTTCCCTCTGGGTTTTCTTCTTTTCCATCTGAATGAAGGGCTTCCTTCTCTTTATTTTGTAAATATAGACCTTTCCTGGCTACTTCTAGTTCCCTTGTCTAATGGAAATGTAACTGCACCTGGCTTCCTTGTGTTATGGGAATGTACCTTCTCCCAGTCTGTGTCCCTGTTTTTTTCCCATGGACCCAATTCTAAAAATTCCTAATCCTGCCTATATTCCCCCTAAAATTCCTGCTTCAGTCCCCCCTCTAATTAGGAAACCCCAACTGCCATTGGGGACAGTGGACGCTGGGTCTTTGTGCTGGCAAAGGGGTCGTAGTTTGGGGCGGCAGTCAGGGTCCCATCAGAAGTGGGCTACTAAGGGTCTACAGAAGATGGATGTAGCAGCGCCTTCATTTGCTGTTCCATGTGGAGGACCAGTTGCAGCTTTAGGGCTTCTAAATGGGAGAATATGAAACATAACAAGCAATGGTTAAAGACGAGCAATAATAAAACAGTATAAACCAAGGCCTGAGGAAGTGGTTTTGATTGGTGATAGTGGTAGCATAGGTTGTCCTATAAACCAAGATTTAACACATTTTACTCTGAATATACTTAGTAGTTAGGGATTCGGGGAGCTAGTATGGCTTGAGAAATTTACTATACCAGGTTACAGAGAGGGGCTATAAGTAGGAGTATCTTGTGGTGTTTCTGGGTCCCAGTAAGGACAGAGAAGGTCTCCTCCAGGTACCAGCCCAGGGTTTAGAAGACACTTATAAAAAGACAGAATAAGAATTGTAAAAAGGATTAAAATACTGATTATTTAGAAATAGCAGAGTATGTTACTTATCAGGCACTCATTATCTTCCCAGGATCCCTTCGGAAGGGAAGTTTCAGGTCCTCTAGAGGTTCACATGAGTAGGAATCTGGTGATTCATTTGATGGTAATACAGCTTCATTCTCCTCCTGGGCTGGTGTCCAAAGCTTCACTCGAGACAAATGTATTCATGAGTCGACTCCACTGACCTTGATTGCAGTGGGAGTGGATAAAATTATGGGATAGGGACCCTCTCATTGCGGTTTCATAGTGGTGGAGTGGGTAGGTAAAGCCTTGATGAGCACCAGATCTCCAGGTGTTAGGGTTGGAACCTGGGGATCTCTAGGTCTAGCTTCAGAGAGCTGTTGTAAAGTCTGCTGGAATTTAGCTAGTGCTGTAATATCTTGTACTAATGCTGTAGTTTCTCTGTCTATTAAGAGATCGTTGGTAAGGAAGAGACGGCCATACAGCATTTTGTAGGAACTAAGTCCTAGGTCTTGGGGAGTATTTCTGATTCTTAGCAGGGCTATGGGTAAAACTAGCAGCC